AAAATGATTAAAAAAAAATTTTAAATGTTAAGAACAACCACTATACAGAAATCCCTAAGAAGAAAATGAAACATGAACCACAATACTTTTCAAAATATGTGATAAACAACATACAAGTGCATTTCTTGAAGTTCTATTTTCGGTTTTGTTTTTTGGGGATTTTTTTTTTTTTTTGGTCTTTTTTTGAGACAGGGTCTCCCAGTAGCCCCAGCTGGCCTAGAACTCACTATGTAGACCAGGCTGGCCTCGAACTCATAGAAATCCACCTGCTTCTGCCTCTCGAGTGCTGGGATTAAAGGCGTGCACTACCACGCCAGGCCTATTTTCAGTTTTTTAGGAGCTGGGGGATATAGCTTAGAGATAGAATAGGTTTAGTATTGTGTGAGGCTCTATGTTTGCTCCCTAGTTAGCAAAAAAAAGAAATAAAAATAAAATCTATCTTCATTCTTACTATTGAGACTGATTAAGAAATCGTAAGAGCATTTTAACTCTAATATTTCTAATATAATTGTATGAAAGTTTACAATGAACTTACAGTGAGGTAACATTCCAATAATCCTACCACTAATCAAAGATACCATGTGAAAATGTATTCAATACACCTAATCTTCCATACGTCCTAGCTTAACAATATAGCACAATGTGACGTCTCAGTTGTTCACCTTGTAATCAGATGGCTGACTGGGGGCTGTGGCTTGTTGCCACTGACCAGCATCACTAGTTAAGATAAAAATTCAAAGCATACTCTTATTCGTTTTGTACCATCATAAAGTCAAAAAGTCAAAAATTGAAACAACCTAAGTTTGGGAGGACATTCAAAATTTGTCTTACATTTTTCAGGCTGGATACATGAGTAACTCCCAAGATTTAATAACTGACTGGTAAATGTTGACTGGAGTACTGTCTCACCAATCCACTGATCTTCGTGAACAGTAACATCTAGAAAGGGAAAAAAAAATGCTGGTCATGCCATAAATTCCTTTAGGCCATGGCTAATTTACCAATCACAGCAAAATATTATGCATACCTCCTGTATGTCAGGCAGCTAAATAAAGTTCTGAAGGTTGAAAGATCTGCCCAAAGACACAAAATGGTAAAAGGGCAAATTCAAACTCTGAACCTAGACTGTTGGCTTCTGAGACATGAGTGGGCAGAGAAGGAGTAAAGACAAGGGGAAGAGAAGACAGCATTCACATTGCCTTTGGCTGAGCTCACCCTTCCCATCTCAAATCTCATCACATTCTCCCAGGACAGAGCAATAGGAGGGATGGAACATCAAGATAGCAGACAGCTGGGATTAGTGGGATATTGAATAAAGCATGCCCCTTCCCATTCAGAGGAAATTAGGACCTAATTCCATTAAAACCATGGACATGGTGAATTCTATGAGTGGAATTATAACCCATGGGACACAGTCAAGTCTGTACAGTATGGAATATATGAACACTACCAGGAATTGGTGGCAATAGGCTATATGCTGGACAGTCTCAGCTCCTGGAACAGAGAAGAGTCAGTCTGCTTGTGTAAACTTAAACTCACTCTCCTCACCTAACTTCAGCTGTTGGTCTCTGATTTTTCCATTAACCTTTCAATTGTGCAAACCACCGCTGGAATCAGCCTGGTTGGAAGCCTAATCTCCTATGCACCTCTGGAGAGAAATCTTACCACTTAGGGAGCTAAGGAGGATTGAGATCCAGAGGCTGTTTCAAACATAGGCAGGAAGAAAATTTATTTTTAAGGAGCTGAGCAATTGTGCATTCTGTATTTGAATCTGCTTGTTATCAGAGTTAGGTGTTAGGGTCAAAGCTTGGGCCTGACTGTCCTAACTGATAGGTAAAACACTGGGATGGGTAAAACTGAATTACAGACAACAACTCCGGCAGGACAGTTTATTAGCAGAGGAAAGCGCACGGGACAATTCTCTTTGGGGTAGAGAAGTTGTCAGTCCTCAGGCTGTTGGCTGGGGGTTTTATCGGGGGCGGGGGAATGCAGAAGGCGGGAAGATTTTTTTTTTTTTTTTAAAGTTGGGTGGTGGGGGAGTGAGAGAGCAGGACTGTTAAAACCTGTTCTCTTTGGAGATCAAAGGGGAAGCCTGCTGTGTTGTCCAAACAGTGGAGAAAAGTCTGCTTCTATGACTTCAAAGACCAAGGTGCTTATCAGCTAGGTTCCCTTTTCTTGGGAGCATGAGAAGTCCCTGAGACCCTGTTGGTGAGGGGGCGGGGCTATCTGAACCTTAACAAAAACCAGGCTGGCTGGGTGTGGTGGTGCACTCCTTTAGTCTTCAAAGAAAATGGTACACTCCTCCACTGGGCTGCCATCAATAACAGAATTGTTTTAGTCAGTTTCAAACAGTGCTATTGTGGATCAACTTGGAGAGGACCTGATTCAACACCATTGTACTGGGACACAAGACAAGGTCATTTATCCACAGCTGTACTACAAATGAAATATGGTGCAAATCCTTCATTAACAGATGGGGACGAGTGGGGAGGTGTTCACCTGATCTGTTCAGTTTGGGCATACCTCATTGTTGCTTATTTCATAGCAAAAAGTTCAATTATCGATAGGATGGATCAGACTTGAGTAGCACCCTTAATGTGGGCAGCTTCCGGAACACAGAGTATGCATTCAACTAGACTGCCTTTTAAAAACCTTTAATGTTTTAGTCAATATAATGACAACTGCCACAAAAACACAGATGTGCACTGAGCAGTACAAACATGGAATATCATAATCATTAGTCTTCTGGAAGCAGGAACTAATGCTGATACCCAGAATATCAAGAGTGAATCAGCACTTGATTTGGCAAACAAGAAGAAAAAGCATGCAGATGATCAAGCATTTGCAAGAGGCAGGGCAAGCAAAAGGATACATCCACCTATCGTTCCTTAGGAAGCTAGGGGTTGATGAGGAATTTTGTTGTCAGAATTTAATGCTGGAAACTCCTTTCCTAGTTATTTGGCTGGCTGGGCTTAAAGCAGGCCTAAATACTGATTCTTGTCTCATTTAAAGGCCAATGTTTGGTAGTGTTTGGTCCCTAATTCTTTTCAGTCCTTTTTTTGATCTTTCAGTACATAGTACATTGTCCCTTGGAACATATTCAGCCACCAATTTCTACTGTGATGTGGTTGTTCTGGTTTGGGGATGTCAACTTTTTTTGTTCATCTTCCATTCCTTGCCGTAGTGTACTTTTCTACAATTTTGGAAAATCTTGAAAATCAAATCCAGGAATTATAAAGCATGCCATGCATAGGAGTAACAGTGAGTTTTACAGTCTTTTCCAACACTTTTATTGACAAAAGTAACTTGGTCAGATAGAATGTATTGCCATTTCTGTGTAAAATCAAACCTAGATATGCCTGTATATAAGTAAAAGTTCAATTGCATCTAGATTTTCAAATGATGTCAATACGGAGGCTCACTACTCCAACAAACTTTTAAAGAATTTCCATTATATAAGGCAAATATTCTAATAGACACATTATTTTTATATTTATCTAATTATTTATTTTGTATATGGGGGGGTGGAGGGCAGAGGACAACTTGTGGGAGTTGGCTCTCTCCTACCACCATGTAGTTCCCAGGAATTGAACTCAGGCCATCAGGCTTAGCAGCAAGTGCCTTTACCATCTAAGCAGCTCACTAGCCCTCCATTCCATATTTCAGATATATTAAAAATCTTTTTTGCCGGGCATGGTGGCACACCCCTTTAATCCCAACACTTGGGAGGCAGAGACAGGCAGATGCCCATGAGTTCAAGGCCAGCCTAGTGTCTACATAGCAAGTTCCAGGTCAGCTGGGGCTACAGGCAGACTCTGTCTCAAAAAAAAAAAAAAATTATACACACACACACACACACACACACACATAAAACTTTTGAGAAAGGGTCTGACTATATAGAGCAGGCTAGCCTCAAACTCACAGAGATTCACCTACCTCTGCCTCTGGACTGTTGAAATTAAAGGTATGTACCACCATGCCCAGCAGAAATTGGTATTTTTGAGATCAGAAAACAAAGTAGTAATTCCAAAGCAGTGTTGCCTCAAATAGTAATGCTAGCTATGTGTTGGTCCCTTCTGGTAAAATGTATATGAATAGAAAGGCAGTCTTTAAAGAATTCAATTATTTTTCCCTAAACAGCACAGTAATCATATATGTTAAAAAGTAAAATACTTTAGAGGTAGTAAACATTCTATAGTGGGGGAAAAAGATCTAAGAAAGGTAGAGAAAAATCACTTAGTAGAAATTAACATGCCAATAGGCAGAAAAACTTGTGTGTGGGAGGAAGGTGTCCAAGAAGACTTGGAGGAAACATGGGTGGGTATGATCAAAATACACTCTATACATGTACGAAATTCTCAGAGAACAAATTCTTTAAATTAAAAAAATTTACAGTAATTGTACGTAGATTCATAACTATAAGTTATGATGCAAGGGGGAATGACTGGTAGGTGAGATCCACTCACTGTACAAAAGTGACAGAAGTATAAGATCAGCACTAGCCAAACAATAAAAAAGAAAAATCAAGATGCATACATTTGAAGAAATTGCTTCCAAATTTATATTCTTAACGTTATACTCAGTTTCAAGCTCACTTATATACAACTGTCTAAATACACTCTCATCTGGATATTCAATTTTCTCCCCAAGCTTAGCATTATCTAAACCTGTTTTTCCCTCTATATTGCCCCTCTCATTTGTGAGTACTGCACTGACAGTTGGGTAAACCAAAATCTGAAGTCATACTGCTTCTCCCTTCCCTTGCCCTTTGTCCGCAAACCCCACCAGCCAACTATGCCAGCTAAATCTGCCACTGCCTTGCAACTGCTGTACATCACACACTCCTTTCCTCCTGTCCCCTCCAATTCATACCCCACAATTTTAGTGATTAATCAAGCATTAGTGAAGTCAAGTGACTTGCTTAAAGACTACTCAATGGCCCCCACTGACTAACCAGAAAGAGCTGGTACAGCTTTCAAGACTTTTCATTGTAGAGCACTTGCCTAAGTGTAAGATGCTGGGTTCAATCCCTAGGACCATCAAAAACAGTAAAAATCAAAATCTGTTCATTCCCTGATGCCCAGAATACCTGTTCTTCAGAAGACAGCAACTAATAAAATATTTAAAGTTTTCTGAAAACTAGGGCTACAAAATCTATGTTGGGTTAGTGATACATGAGGTGATAAGGTGGGGCAAAACGGTGGTCCAGCCCTTGCCTCTTGGTCCTCTTTTGTCCATTCACTTCTGTGCCCCTTTCAAAGCTGGCCTCAAATTAAAAAAAAAAAAAAAAAGAAAACCAGGTTGAATGAAGGGAGCAAGACTAGGCTGGAACACCAGTCTCACACACAGTAAGAGTATAAGTTCTGTGCACCACTCCACCCCTGTGCTGGCCTCTCTGACTGCTTGTCAGTCTTTCCTAGGCAGCTCTATACACACAGGGCTATGGAAAGACGGCACTTTGCTATTCTAATAATGAAGCTGATGTGTCTATCCACAGCAGGAAGACCCCTAGCATCTCCCCACCTTCCTCCTCTGAAGCAAGCCCAGGAAGGATTTTCTATCACACTGAGGAAGGACCAGGTGCCTGCCATGGGCCTAGTGGCAAGAGTCTGTACAGCCAGGCCTTGCTAAGCATCCTGTTGTCAGTGGTTCCTACCTTCTTTATCCAATTTTGTTTTTCTATGACTGCCCACTTATCAGCAAGCAACTTAAACATGATTTGTAAATCTAATTTATAGTTTCCTCTGCGTTCCCATCTTTCTGTTTACAGAACTTAGTGCCTCCTGATCCCACTGCAGTTTTCTGTTGCTTACTTTGTTTTCTGAGACAAGATCTTACTGTGTGGCCCAGGCTGAGTCAAACCCACAATCCTCCTGCCTTTGCTTCCCAAGTACACTGCACACCTGGCTATTTTTATTTACTGAATGAAAGAAACAGCGCTATGTTTATACAATTACGCACACAAAAGGAAAACTAGTGGTAGGCTAGGTGCACAGAGGGGCCGATGCAGGATGAGAACAGAGTGTGGCAGGGACAGGGATGTGCTGGCAGGAAGAAGGTTTTCCAGAAATGAAAAGAATACAGGCAAAGATGTTGTGAAGTGAGCTTGGTAGCATTTGGCCAGGTGCCCAGCCCCCAGGAGCCAGTGGGCTCCCAGAACTAAGAAGACCAGTTGCTTCAGATCAACTCCCAGTTTGATCATTAGATGCTGGGAATGTAACTCAGTAGAGTACTTGCCTGACATGAACAAAGCCCTGAGTTTGATTTCCCAGCACCATATAAAGCTCCACAATGTGAGAGGGCCTCATCCAATAAATTGAAGTTCTGACTAGAACAAAACACTGATCCTGGGGAGGTCTCCTTCAAGCTGGGATCCTGGCTCTTTCAAGTTCAATAAGGTTCAGAATTCTGTAGATTCTGGCTCTCAGACTCAGTTAGGGACACTGGAGGAACAAATTGCTTGTGATGCATATCTACATAATTACATATAAATATGAGGTTTCAAAAAAAAAACAAATGTGAGGTTTCATGCATCTGGGGAGCCCTAATACATTGCCACACTCCGTGATTTTATTATTTATTTCCCTCAACTTCAGGAAAAAAAAATTTTTCGGCTGGGCGTGGTAGTACACACCTTTAATTCCAGCATTTGGGAGGCAGAGGCAGGTGGATCTCTGTGAGTTCAAGGCCAGC